AGAACATATGAATATACTCGTACTTATACTACTCGACTGTGCATTACACAGCAATTTTGAAGGTGATGATTTGACATTGTCATCTTGCACGGAGAAGAGGAACAGGAATTGGTAACTGCTCACCTATATTTTTTTTTAATGTTATTTTAAGTGCCATTAATTGTTTTACTTAAAAATATATAAAGGAACTCCTCCTTTGGGAACGTGTCCCCAGAAGTGGAAGGAAATTGGGTGAATGGGCTGCTCCCATAACCTATTACGCAAACCCTGTGCGCCCTGTGGTTGAAATCAAAATCCCAAAAGAAAAAAAAATTTACTAGAAAAAAATCCACTCGGTCCAAATATCAGGCAGGACTCGAACCTTCCATCCGTTTATTTTTACTTTATATTGATAAATCATGCATATTTCTTCTTAAAGAACATAATGAACTAATAATCCCACTGTGGCAAGTGAGTGTCTCAAAATTTTTAGTTATATCTGCCACCAAATTCTCTTTTGTATAATTGAGACCTTATGAAAGAATGTAAATATGCACCTATAATACGTATAACTGCTAAAATTTATTTGTGAGTTCTTAATGTAAACATGCAAACTATTATACTGCACTAATTACAACACAACATAACGATCATAACAATAACTACTACTTATTTATTTGATTCCTAAATAAATGTATATCATACCTACTTTCCTTTGTCTTTTTGATCTGACATAAATTTTCTTGCTTTTTGAGTATCAAATAAATCTCGTTAATTTATCATTTTATTAACTCTTTACAAATAACTTGGAACAAAAGATTTTTTTATGATTTACTTACAATATCCGCTAAAATTGCCATCAATAAAATTATAAAATCTTAGTATTATATCACAAAGTTAAGTAAATTTGTTTATGATATCGAATAAATAGAGCATAAAATATGTTTATTTCACTGAAACTAGAGCAACTGCAAACACGTCGTATTCAAGGAATTCTACTTGGCTGTGGGCGATACTGTTACAATAGATATAGTAAATGTATACCAGCCAGTCTAAATAATAAAAATGTGCAACAAAGCTTTATAGGCCTATCCCTTACTGGACTTTGATTATTATTTAAAGAAATTAATCATGAGTTATTTAAGTTTGCATATGGTTGTATACGAGTATATACCTGCCTTCATAAAACAGTTCAAAAAATAGAAGTGATGGAATTATTTAAAAACTAAAAACAAGTCTGACAAGAGTATTTAAAAATACCGGAAAAAAACGTGTATCCCTATAAATAGTTACTTACTTACTACAAAATCTTATAAACTCTCATAAGACCACACAGAAAATCAACCTTAACAGCAATTTATAAATTATCATGATACCAGTATGGTATACTGTAACGATACCTGCTAATGCCATCCAAAGTCAACGTGCAAAAGGTATGATTTTTGACACAAAGAGATCGATTCGTTCCTCTAATCTAATTGAGGTTGCATTACCAGGATATACATCACTTGCTCCTTGTCCGCTTTGACTCCATGGAGATACCATGAAGCAATAGTCTATCCTACCTACACTGTATAAAAATCAATGTCCTCATTATTACTTGAGCACGCTTCTATTGTTTTGGTTAAATGATTTGTTGTCGCATTCCTTTTTTTTTATATACGAAACTATATTATACTTTATATAATAACTTGTTGAAAGCCATTTTGAATCGTCTAACATTTTTGCCTACCTGCAGATTACCCACTTGAGTACCCACTCAAGATATCTTTCAGCTAATAATAAGAGCTTTTGTCATTGCTAATCAAAACGCAAAAATGTGAGCTAGTCAACTTTATAATTTTTTTTTTACAGAGATATAAATCGATATTGAGCCACAATACAAGCTCGTGGTAAGGCTCCTGACCAGCCAGTTATCATGCGGTTAACAATATTGTTGCTCCAGTATTGTCTAGTCGGACTACTTTTGCGAAACGGACTAGTTTGTAACAGTAGTAGACTGACTGAACATAGCCGCTTTTTATAAATATATACATTCAACTTCTATAACGTCATATTATTTTTCAATTTCCATAACAGTTGTGATTCCTCACTAATAACAACAATTTCGCTATAATATGCAAAACTTTTTAATTGAAGACGCTAACCATGGAGCTATGAAACTCCTCACCTAAAAAACCCTATTGTATTCATTAATTCCGATAATCTCAGAAGCAGGAGAAAGAATTTTCAAATCAAATAAAATTTATAATATTCTGTATGTACCACTTAAGAAATATTTATGACTAAACTTATAATGCCATCATTTTTAACTACCTTATTACCATTAATATGAAGACAAGTAAGGTCCAGTAACCTTGTTACTTAGCGAACATTTGTTTATGTTACTGTAGACAACCAACGTGTTGACAAAAGCATAGAAAAGTATTGACACTTTCTTTTTTTTAACTCACGTATCGATAATCTGTATCACGGAGAAATGCACAGCGTGGAATGAATTCCAGAATACGTTGCGAATAGTGAATTACAACCGTAGACATTACGTTGGTTTTCAATAAAGAAAGTGAAAGAACTATGGTCGATTAATGTATGAATACGCTGTCCGATTAGGAAATGTCTTTCTAAAGAATTAAAGTATGTTAACTTTGTAACCGACAAATACTTTGTAGAGTGCCTTTCTTAAATAAAACAATGCGTATTATTTTAAAAAACCCTATTATTATTAACTAATTGACATCATTAAATAAGCGTTGCGTGGCACTTAATATTGCGTAAATAATAATTAAACACAATGAACAAAGGTTTACTTTTTATTATGAATACTGGTTGTTGGTGATTACATTAATTTGAAATCAAGTTATATAACAAAAAAATCGCGGAAAAGGTTGATTACAAAAGTAACTTTATTTCCAGAACTGTGTGCTTATGCATGCTATTTTGTTTTACAGCTTTTCTTCGTTTTCGTAAGTAACCTGTTTTTAATGAAATTAAAATAAATGTTATAAATAACTTTTGAAAGCCCTTTTGAATCATCCAATATTTTTTAATTACCCATCTATGAGTTAATATGTAACAACGCAGCAGTATTTAACAGAAGTGGCAGAACAAAAACATTGAACCACTATTTTTTTTAATAAAAGGAAATAGCGTACTTCAATTCAAGTTAGGGCTTTCTCACAAGGAATTCATGTTTCTTCAATGAGATATGTCTTCTTTATGCCCAGACAATTCGATCATTTAAGCAAGTAGGTTCCTATAGGTGACCTGCGACTCCTAATAACCTTTGCTTATCAGAGTATATTACAGAATTTTATTTGAGTGGTTAAATACGAACGAAACATGTATTATATTAGTACAAACTTTATCTATCGTAATACCGAACAAATATTACCGCAAACTGATGTAGGTAATTTCAATAATTAGTACTTTCATGCACCTTTGATGTTCTAACATCCCTTATGACGTGGTAATCGAGGTATGCCATAAAATTTACAATCACTAAACATTAATACAGGATGTTTTATAATAATAGATAAATTGAATTTAGGTAATCATCGAATAGATAATCAAGATAAACTGGTTGCGTGCCGTTGGAATCCAAATGCCAGGTCAAAGCAACATCCTGCAGATACTACTTACATAACTTGTGTTCCATTACCTACAGTCTAAACAATCAAAGTTCAGGTAACAATTAGGCGAATATTTGAAAGGCGTGACATGTAGGTACACGACAATAGATTCTATTATTAAAGGATGCAGAACTCAAAATGGAGGGAATTATTTTATGCTATTGTGTTGTAATGTATGTGGTTCCGTGCGTCCACTTAGCACGTCGTGGCGCAATCTGGAGAGAGCTTTGACAATAGCGACTGTTAGATCATTTTTGTTAGTTGTATACACAGATGCTTTATTGCGATACTTTTGAACATGAGTATTTCATTCATTTTAAAGTAAACAAAAGAATGTTCACGGCATGACCCGGATTCCAAATACGAATACTTATGTATCTAAATCTATCTCAATTATCTTCCTGAATCAGGAAGTTGTAATTCATTGCCTATCATTTTGAAAAAAAAATCTGATTGATCGTTAATTATTGTAAATGAAGTCTTAATAAGTAATTACCTACTTAACCGATGAAGTAATTTGTAAATTACACAATAATTCCGACATAATAGCCGTCGAAACTAGGGCTAACTCTGAATTCTGGAATTCCGAACAATACCGATATTTTAATTTCGTTGACTAATAAATTCCAATAATTGGTTAAATTATTGAGCATTATAATACAATTTCTTAGAATATAAACTAGGATGTAATAATTTTGTTTGAATGAAATGCTTTCGCGTGACTCCACCGAAGCTTCACAGAAAGTTCGCTTTTTAATTGAATAATGACGCCGCAAATTTGCGGTGTTCTAGCTAAATTGAAACTGCGTTTTCATCGCGTAAACCAAGCTGCATGAGTAGGTACGGGTGCTTACAGCGCCGCCGCCGGAGGCATCGTTGCGACAAACCAGGGAAGTGGTTAGAGGGTGTTCGGGCGTCAGGGACGATATACACGCGCGCGTAGTCGTGCATATTTTAAACCAAGTTTCGTAGCATTCATTGAGAAACACTCGCCCCCATTCGTGATGTCAGCCGGCTGATGTTGAGCAATGAAAACCTGATTTCCACACGAGAAATCAGATCAAATTTTCGTTTTATCGTCCTCCATCCCGACAATGCGGTTATGTAACATATTATTTGACTTTACACATATGCAAACATTCGATGAAAGTGACAATACGCTGACAGGTTTCCGCGCAGGCCGATCGCAACGCACAATTATCGTAGTTATTAGAAAGTTATCGTTAAATTGTTTATATGTGGAAAGGCCACATTGGTGAATTTTACATTTTTTCAATTTGCGTAACAAACTGTCCATTGAATTTAACTAAATTCTAAACTCTATTCAAACATACTAAGATTAATCATGATGAACAATTCACAATGCAGTTAGTATGGTGTAATATTACTCACATCGCTATCCTTGCGTCCATGGTGGCGGCGGGAGCGAGCGGGCGAAGTGTGGCGCCGGGCGGCTCCTCGGCTGCTGCAACAGAGATCACGTCAACACGCGCGCCTTTCAAACTCCAGTTGCGACAGTGAAGCTCAACGAGGAAGCTGCATCGCACATTTAAATGCAACGCTAATGTCAGAGAGCGTCTAAATGCCAATAGTGACGACCTTTCGGTTTTGAACCGTTGCGCAAGCGGAGATCGCCAGTGATGGTAGAAAGGCGCGGGTGGTGGGGACGCACCGTGGAGTATAGGACACCGTGCACGCGCTGCCGGTCGGCGACTAACCTCGCCGCGGCGCGCGCGCCTCTTACTTATAGCCGCGTGTGCCGCCCGCCCGCCCGTCGTCGGTACCGCCCGGCGCCCGCCGCCCGTCGTCTGCTTCACACCCGCCCATACTATGCTTGCTCAGATACATCTTTCAATAAGTTTTTAAAGTTGACCAACATGCGTGTGGCTCGACTGATAACAAAGTAACCACCGATGGAGTATGTTTAGTGACTTGCGACTTGAAAAGATGTCCAAATTCAAGAGGAAAATCCACTGAGCCTTACTTTCTTAAAAATAATATATTAATATCGATTCCTGGGTATATCAACAGAGACATTGAATTACTTTACCTTTGACAGTAGGATGAGGAAAATAACAAGCGCCTTAATGTGTTTGAAACCCAAACCGCAGAGCCCAAGACTAAAAGCACTTATTTATCGTTACAATTAAAATGTTTATAACGATATAGAGGCTTACATTATATGCTTTGAGAGAAAGAGTCACATAATCTACTTTGAAAGATAAAAATCAAAAGTAGACTTCGGATGCCGACGGTAAAATTGTAATTCACGCGCACAGCTAAAGGTAAATTTGATATGTAAATAACCTATTATTGCCTTATTTTTTATGTTAAATTGTCATATAAGAATTTGTTATGGTACTGAGGAAAATAATAATAATTTTGCTTCGATTTGACTTAAAATATCGGTAGTGTAAGTAGTACTTGCTTGATGCTTTAGATACGTTACAGCGGCGCGCGGTTCGCATCATAGGCTATAAGGAGGTGACCAAATACCTCGAGCCTATTCAATTACACCGTGACGTGGAGTCACTAAGCGCGCGTCTGTACCACGGCGAGTGTTCTGAGGAGTTATTCACTCTTATTCCACCTTCCCCTTTCCTTCAGAGGACCACGCGTGCTGGCCTACGTTGTCAACGTCTATGCTCTGCCCGCTCACGTGTTCCATCCCTCTTACAACCTGGGATCCTTTAAAAGAGGCGTGAAGAAACAGCATGCAGGCCGGCAGGGTGAGGATGGTTGGTGTGGCAGGTAGAACTGCTGTATCAGCTATCTTCGCGTCTGGACTTCACCTTCACTTAACATCAAGTAGGGTGGAGTCATTTTTCTTAACTTATTATTGTATAATTATAAAAAAAAGTGTCCTATGAACGTCGGTAATTCCTTATAAGGCCAATCTAAAATTTGACGGTTGGTCTTTTACTAGGGTACATGAGTACATGGACCTCACTAAGAACATTTACAAATCATGGGAATATATAAATACGTACCGGAAAAGTTATATGTTTATGATATTATTATTTATAAGGGTTATTCAACTTGACCTTCTTAGAAACGTTTTAGCCTTACAAAGAACGGACCCATAAAAAGGCCATTATAGACCAATTTCATTATATATAATTTCATTCCAGAAATCATTGACAACTTATTTGTTATTGATATAATACTCATAACTTTATTTTTAAATAATTTTCATTACTAATATATTCTTAATAATTCGGTAGTGTTCAAGGAATATTCGTTGAGTTTTTTAAAGAAGATTATAATCTGTTAAGCATTTAATGCTTCGTTTTAAATGAAAAAGCTTTTTATGTAGTTTTAGTAAAAGCGGATATTTTGATAATTACAACTCTAGTTTTAAGTTGAACAACTGATATATAATAATGGCCCTGTGGAGAAGAGCTTAAAAAAGTTAAGTTTCATAAATAGTGATTATATTAAAAAGAAAGTAATTTATATGTTACACAACAAAACAAAGTGTTAACTGATAATTTGTTTCTTTCATTTGTCTAGTAAATGAATTAATAAAACCTGTTTATTCGTTAGAATCGCTTTCCATGGTCCACCCACCTTATTTCGGGGTGAATTTTGAAAAATCCTTCGTTAGTGCCCCCCTGGACCTCATAAAAAATCTACGTGCCGAGTTTGGAGTCTTTAGACCCAACGGTTTGAACAGTGCGTTGATATGTCAGTCAGTTTATTCTTTTATATATTAAGAAGACACTGTTACACTACTATCATGAATCTTCAAAAGGGTTTATTGTAGAAAATTTAAATCCTTAATACACAGAAAAACTTAGCCAATGGACAAATTATTTCACTATAGGTATATCTTATTTGTGCTACATAGAAATCGAGAGAAACTATATCTTGCTCTTTTTATATTAATGCAAAATGTTGACATTTAACGATCTTTTATTAAATTAATAGTATAATTGAATAAAAATTTAAACCAGCTGGCAGAATACATTCTCCGTCTTTCAAAATATCTAGATATAAATGTGTACAAATATCATTTTATGCAAGCGTTACTCAACGCGCTACAAAAGACTTTAACGCGTCAGCGTAGTAGCTTCCATACATTACTATTAATATTTTCTAGTTGGCAAAGTATGCTTTCCTCCTCAATATATCTCGATCAGTAGTCGTATCGTGTTTAATTATTAAATTTATTAATCCTCTCTTTGGTCCTCGCTTAATTTAAATGTAAGTACACACCTTAAATCCCATGTTTAAAATCGAATGGCGTTGATGAGATGTAGCTATGTTTATATTTTTTTTACTGTCTAGCATTTTTGATACTCTGTCAGCCTTGGAAAGGATTAGAAGCGTTAATGTATGAAGTATTTATGTTTGAAATATCTTCTTGTTTCTTTAAGTACATACATGAATAAAACTAGTTTTTACGGGTTAATGCACGAAACTTTATTTATTTATTGACGTTTCGTAGCCTTTACAGGCTTCGTCGTCAGAATAAAACTTTTATTTAATTTGTCGAGCTACCTTCGAAAGACTTTTATTGAGCGTTTGGTTATTTCATTGTTTGATTTTTAAGTTTTATTGTCTATGGATGAATTTATTATTTAATTTACTTAATAAAGTATTTTATTTCAAATTCTTTTTTGTAATTTTGAGTTTATTTATTTGACCCTAACTACCGTAAACTACCACCGGTTCCAAAATTGGGAGACCTTTCTGAGAAGAACCGGTGAAACAAACTCAAGAGAGGTCCCCCTAATGCATGTTCCAAACCACTACATTAGATTTGATAGACCACAGATCCTTGCAGCTGAGCGGCGGTTCGTTCCTCGAATGATGCGCGAGGCTATTGATATTAAAAAATATCCAAATTTCAATAGGGAAGATGGTTGGTATATACCACCAGCTTGGGAACCTATTATACAGGAGATAAAATCCCAACCCCGAGCACACACTGCAAGACCATCAGGTACTATTAGTTCTTTTTGTTTGCATAATTTAACATAAGAAGGAGATAGAAAGCCTCTCTTGAGTTTGTTTCGCCGGTTCTTCTCAGAAAGGTCTCCCAATTTTGGAACCGGTGGTAGTTTACGGTAGTTAGGGTCAAATAAATAAACTCAAAATTACAAAAAAGATTTTGAAATAAAATACTTTATTAAGTAAATTAAATAATAAATTCATACATAGACAATAAAACTTAAAAATCAAACAATGAAATAACCAAACGCTCAATAAAAGTCTTTCGAAGGTAGCTCGACAAATTAAATAAAAGTTTTATTCTGACGACGAAGCCTGTAAAGGCTACGAAACGTCAATAAATAAATAAAGTTTCGTGCATTAACCCGTAAAAACTAGTTTTATTTAATGAGTGATGTGCGTGAAAACCTAAGAAACATACATACATGAATTTAACTTTAATGCATGAATTACAATAGGTAGTCAATGAGCTTTTAATCTCCATTACTACAAACAGAAATAGGTATGTAGTAACGAAGATTAAGTAAGGAAATGTTTGACGTCACCATTCCCAAAACGAGGCGACTTACTGTCACAGGTATTTCTTATTTATATATTTTTGCGATACCGGGATCGATTTCTGACCAGGTTGTGAGGATTCAAAGTTAACTTTTTTGTGCCTTTAGTGTAAGACTATGACTATGATGACTGAGGTATAGTAAAAATCCTCTCCTAGTGTTCAGCTAGAAATTACAAAAGTTACCAGCATATGCTCCTCGCTGACGATGTATCCAACGGCTGTATGCAAAACGTCTGATTAATAACGTTAGTCGCTAACTAGTAACTTGGCTCTCAGCACCAAGCGAAGTTCCTTGTTCGGTTGACCATCGAACATACATGTAAAAGTATTTTAATCTATATGAGATAAAAATAATGTATGTGATTTAATAGAATATTATTGTATGTACAAGGGTATCGCCAGCCGACGACCTAGGAGGAGACGGGTGGGGTAAGTTCATATACATAAATGGAGGGTGTAAAAGAATGAATGATGGGTCGATGATGCTTAGTTGGGATCGAAATTAATTAGTAAATTTATTCTAGTTTTGGCGCGTAGGAACAATAACACAATACGTTGTTGCTTGTCGGCAAAGAGAGAAATAATTCTCAATCGATTTCGAATCCCATATAAAACATGATAAAACTCAGTCAGTTGGATAAATTTGATATTATATCACATTTATTTGACTTGTAGCTATTCTGCATGAAATTATTCACTTTTGCAAATTTTAGTCACGTCTTGGAATAAACTATTAACCTCAGTGACGTAGGTATAAGGAAATAATTGTAGCTAATTAAAAATGCGATCAAATTAAACCTTATTATTCACCTAATTGTTTTAAATAAATCAAAGTTATATTTTTTTTTAAAGCATGTTACTGCTTCATGTTTAAATCTAAAGAAAATATAACTAGAAAAAAATCCACGCGGACCAGGCAGCAGACGGGACTCGAACCCAAAACCTAAATCAAAGTTTCAACGGTATAGATGTACTGATTTATTTATTTATGATGTTTCGCAACCTTTTCAGGCTGCTCGTCAAACATATTTTTAATGCTTAAATAATGTGGATTGTCATCAATATCATTAGCAGCTTTTTAATGTCCCCCCACTACAGTTCTGCGCAACAAGACCGTTACCAACGCCCTAACGTGCATTTTTAAGCTCTCAAGAAATCTAGATAATACAGTGAAACCTGGTTAAGTGGGACCTGGATAAGTGAGAAACCTCAATTATTGAGAGTTGCAATGAGGTCCCGGTTCCTTTTCGTTAAATT